AGACCAAGTGTCATAAAATTTTCACAGAATTTTACTAACACTATTGTGCATAAACACTATGAGTTTAATCGAAATCCGAGATGATAAGACTTTTTCATCAAAAAATTTTTAGTGTATTTGATCAGCTTCATTTTTGAGTTTCCGGCGGTTTTAACCAGGAAAGCATACGAGTATTAAAATAATTATTATATGGCGTTATATCTCGCTATATGACCTACAATTAATTTCCAATTCGGACCCTCTATCTGCCCCACACGCCGAGCAATCGTCAAAAAAGTGAGAATTTTTTTTGGTACACTGCAAAATTTCAAATGCGAATATCTCGAAAACTAATAGACCAAGTGTCATAAAATTTTCACAGAATTTTACTAACACTATTGTGCATAAACACTATGAGTTTAATCGAAATCCGAGATGATAAGACTTTTTCATCAAAAAATTTTTAGTGTATTTGATCAGCTTCATTTTTGAGTTTCCGGCGGTTTTAACCAGGAAAGCATACGAGTATTAAAATAATTATTATATGGCGTTATATCTCGCTATATGACCTACAATTAATTTCCAATTCGGACCCTCTATCTGCCCCACACGCCGAGCAATCGTCAAAAAAGTGAGAATTTTTTTTGGTACACTGCAAAATTTCAAATGCGAATATCTCGAAAACTAATAGACCAAGTGTCATAAAATTTTCACAGAATTTTACTAACACTATTGTGCATAAACACTATGAGTTTAATCGAAATCCGAGATGATAAGACTTTTTCATCAAAAAATTTTTAGTGTATTTGATCAGCTTCATTTTTGAGTTTCCGGCGGTTTTAACCAGGAAAGCATACGAGTATTAAAATAATTATTATATGGCGTTATATCTCGCTATATGACCTACAATTAATTTCCAATTCGGACCCTCTATCTGCCCCACACGCCGAGCAATCGTCAAAAAAGTGAGAATTTTTTTTGGTACACTGCAAAATTTCAAATGCGAATATCTCGAAAACTAATAGACCAAGTGTCATAAAATTTTCACAGAATTTTACTAACACTATTGTGCATAAACACTATGAGTTTAATCGAAATCCGAGATGATAAGACTTTTTCATCAAAAAATTTTTAGTGTATTTGATCAGCTTCATTTTTGAGTTTCCGGCGGTTTTAACCAGGAAAGCATACGAGTATTAAAATAATTATTATATGGCGTTATATCTCGCTATATGACCTACAATTAATTTCCAATTCGGACCCTCTATCTGCCCCACACGCCGAGCAATCGTCAAAAAAGTGAGAATTTTTTTTGGTACACTGCAAAATTTCAAATGCGAATATCTCGAAAACTAATAGACCAAGTGTCATAAAATTTTCACAGAATTTTACTAACACTATTGTGCATAAACACTATGAGTTTAATCGAAATCCGAGATGATAAGACTTTTTCATCAAAAAATTTTTAGTGTATTTGATCAGCTTCATTTTTGAGTTTCCGGCGGTTTTAACCAGGAAAGCATACGAGTATTAAAATAATTATTATATGGCGTTATATCTCGCTATATGACCTACAATTAATTTCCAATTCGGACCCTCTATCTGCCCCACACGCCGAGCAATCGTCAAAAAAGTGAGAATTTTTTTTGGTACACTGCAAAATTTCAAATGCGAATATCTCGAAAACTAATAGACCAAGTGTCATAAAATTTTCACAGAATTTTACTAACACTATTGTGCATAAACACTATGAGTTTAATCGAAATCCGAGATGATAAGACTTTTTCATCAAAAAATTTTTAGTGTATTTGATCAGCTTCATTTTTGAGTTTCCGGCGGTTTTAACCAGGAAAGCATACGAGTATTAAAATAATTATTATATGGCGTTATATCTCGCTATATGACCTACAATTAATTTCCAATTCGGACCCTCTATCTGCCCCACACGCCGAGCAATCGTCAAAAAAGTGAGAATTTTTTTGGTACACTGCAAAATTTCAAATGCGAATATCTCGAAAACTAATAGACCAAGTGTCATAAAATTTCACAGAATTTTACTAACAATATTGTGCATAAACACTATGAGTTTAATCGAAATCCGAGATGATAAGACTTTTTCATCAAAAATTTTTTAGTGTATTTGATCAGCTTCATTTTTGAGTTTCCGGCGGTTTTAACCAGGAAAGCATATGAGTATTAAAATAATTATTATATGGCGTTATATTTTGCTATATTCCCTACAATTAATTTCTAATTCGGACCCTCTATCTGCCTCGCACGTGCAATCGTCAAAAAAGTGAGAATTTTTTTTGGTACTTTTTAACACTGCAAAATTTCAAATGCGAATATCTCGAAAACTAATAGACCAAGTGTCATAAAATTTTCACAGAATTTTACTAACAGTATTGTGCCTAAACACTATGAGTTTTATCCAAATCCGAGATGATAAGACTTTTTCATCAAAAATTTTTTAGTGTATTTGATCAGCTTCATCTTTGAGTTTCCGGCGGTTTTAACCAGGAAAGCATATGAGTATTAGAATAATTATTATATGGCGTTATATTTCGCTATATTCCCTACAATTAATTTCCAATTCGGACCCTCGAACTTCGCGAAATTTTTAAAATGTTTCATGTATCAGGAGCACACTCCCGCTTTCGTCATTCTCTTATCTCTAATGCGCTCGTGTCTTTGCTTCTTCAGCTGATAAGTATGATATTTCATTCAATTTCACTTTCATTCAAATTCAATTTAACCTGTTTGCAATACGTATGTAACATATGGCTAAGTTAAAAAAAAGTAAAATATTATGATCGAGTTTTTAACTTCCCGTAGGGCAAGTTATAGTAATCGCAAAGAAATCGAAAATGAAAATTTTTATATATCTTTACGTTTCAAAGGTTTCTGAACATTTTGGCATACCTTATGTGTGTGTGTGTGTATGTGTGTGTATGTGTGTGCGTATACAAATTTTCGTCGACGATTTCGGGAACACGAATCAACCGATTTGAATAATTTAAAAAACATTCGATTCTTATTGATAAGGAGACGTGCTGATTAGTTTTTGGCAAAGGTAGGTCTAGCCGTTCCGAAGATACGGGGAAAAAAGTGCCGAAAACGGTAACTCAGTTTTTAAGAGAACGGAGCGTCCGATTTGAATAATTCAAAAAACATTTTACTTGTATTGAAAAGATGAAGAATCGATAAATTTTCATGAAGGTAGGTCTAGCGGTTTCGGAGATATGGAGGAAAAAGTAAAAAAATGAGCCATTTGGCGGTCAAAAATGATTATTAGACATATGCACATCAAATTATCAGATATTTTATAGAGATTTTAACAATAAGTATAAGTTTTGTTAACATTCCTATGGGTTCCGTACCAATGCTTATGCGTTAGACAGCGACGCGGCGCTTACGCGCTTTATATTTTGTCCCTATGCAGTTAAAGCAGTACGATTGCTTTGAAAAAAGATTCAGATCTTCCACAATATGTCAAAATAAAGAAAAAAAAAATTTCTTTCAAAAAAAAAAATTAATTTTTTTTTTTTTAATTTTTAAAAAAAAAGTAATTTCTTGTCCAATTTATAGTTTCTCAAAAATCTTATTTTATCAAAAATGTTAATCGTTTTTAAATAAATAATAATTTTTGGTACGGGAAGTTCCAGCAATTTGCCTTAAGGCACGATGCCTTAATTGCCTTAAGACAGAATTCCACTTACAGCTAGTTGTTATTAATATGAAATTATAATGTTTTACATCAATTTTTCTGGTATCACATCAAATTTATATACGCGTTAAAGGGGACTTTGTTATAGAATTTAATGAAAAATATAAAATCAATTTAAAATGCGAATTAATTTTAATATTATTAACTCATGCAGTTATAAATATGAAATGAAAATAGTAAAAAAAAATAAAAACCTTGAGTGGGATTCGAACTCTCGACCATAGACGAAAAAATTAGAATTCGCCGACGTTACTACTCGGACAATCTCACGCTAAAAAGAAAAAACGCTCCATGCTATGTGTACAGATGGTGTACAGTGCGCTGCTTAAATGCAAACTTTAATTAATTTTTTTAATTAAACCGCTTTTTCATAGGCCTCTAATATTTTACCACAGTCAGTTTGGGCATAAAATCTACCATTGTGCCAAATTTCATCAAAATCCCAGACGAGCAATGCGCGGGTTCTCCTTGTAAGATTTTTAGAATTTAACAAATTGAGATTACAAAATTTTAATTTTGTATGATTATTTAATATTAATAGAGTTAGAAGTTCATATAAAAATGCAAATATGTTTTATCTGTTCGATCACTTACTTATTTTATTATTTTTTTAGTCAAACCATGTATTAGATTTTTTTAAAAAATTATATTCAAAATAAGAATTTTAAGCAGAATTGTGATCATATATTTAATTTCTAATAATTAATTAATATTAGTGAAATTAAAAGTTGATATATAAAAAACGGAAAACTTCAATAGATTTCCATCTGAGATTTTTTTTGTAAATCATAGCCAAATACTGCGATAAAATTAATTATAAAATGATTAATGAATAACTGAATCATAAATAATTTCATAAATAACAAAGTAGGATAAAATCACACATGTTATAATAGTTTTTTTTTTCATTGCAAGCAGCCATAATAAACCTTTTTTATTGAAATATTTTTATATCTCAGGCATAAGGTATGCCTTGTATAAAAGATTATGCAACAAATATTTCTACATACGCATTATATAAATTCACAACCTATTTTATATGTTTTTAATTGCATTACTAAATGCATATATGCTATATGCTAGTAATGTAATTCTTTACGACTAACTAAATATATAGGGACAAATATAATATAAAGAAGGTTTGAATTTTATGCACTTAGTGTGCCCTCAAACTCTCCGAATAATGTGTTTGGAATATATAGTAATTATTATTTTTCTCTATTGTAAAAAATTCGATTAGAGCCCGAAAACCTCAATCCCAATTGTCGCAAATTGCTTTTGTCGCTGAGCGATAATGGGCTGCGGAGGATCAAAAGCGACCACGGTCGCCATAGATCCGGCGAACTCACAACAAAGCGACGGAGGCGCGGCCACTGCCGAAATGGGAGGCTCAAGTCCGGTTGCCAAATCGCCTACGACGGAACGAGTGCCCACTCCAGCAGGTGAGTTGGGAAAATATTTTTATTCGCGAAAAATATTTAGTTATATCATTACATCTTTAATCTTGTATTAAGATTGTGAAGATGTGATTATTAACTCAGAGTATACCAAAAATACGAAAGCTTCCACTAAAGCAAATAATTATGCTATTATTAGTATCTAGTAAAATAGCTAGAGAAGTTGGGTAAATCATCCTAATTCATTCCGAATACTTATTTTTGTCCGAATCCCGTGTGATGATTCTAAATCGTAGCCAAAGTTTCAATTCAAATCTTTTCTATCACTTATAAGAAATACCCCACACATATCATCACGTAAAATTATTATAGAAAATTATTTTGAATAAGGCTTCTATTAATTATTAATTAATTTTTTATTAATAAGCCCGGTTTGGCCGGGACAGTACCGTATTTCAACCTTTTTTTTAAAAGCAATATTTACTCGGATTTGGATCTTTTGACCCGGATTGTCCCGGTTTTTTTTTTAATTAAATTTTAAATTGATATGAAAACAAACGAACAAATGCTATTGTTTCAAAATAATTATGAAGAAAATTAGAATTTTATAAAAGGCTCAAAAGCGATAAAAAACATATAGAAACAAAAGTCCGCAACTTTTCCGCAACTCCGACTAATAAAAAATGTTTCATATAAAAATGTATTCTTAAATAGCATTTGTTAATCTAAAGACACCCTTCCCCTTCCGTCCCGGATTAGCATAACTAAAAAATGCAGGTTTTGGCTTAAAAAAATTTGGTCACCTTGCTTCTATTTATTTTATTTATATTTTTGCGTACTTATGTTTAAGGCCTAAGGACTAGCAAAACCATGTTGTGTTTAATTTAAAAAAAATAGTAGTAAAAAAAATATTTTATTTATTCCTTGTAAGTTCTAAATTTTTGGCAACGTCTTAATTTGCAACGTATCAGCAATGTTATACAAATTTGAGGCGCGACTTCATATTTTCCGTATTTACTCGACGTGTTGTTGGAAAAAAGTATTTGTCAAAAATAAACTTATTAGAGAAGTATAAAGTTGATTAGAATCTCTTATTGTTTCACAAAGTCAAAAATGTCATGACACGTATCTTTTTTCTATTGCCAACTCCGCCAACTAATATTGCCACATTTTACAGTAAAAATTTGATTATGATTTTAGAATTAGGTCTTAACTGTAATTATTGTTAGGGTTGGTTTTAAATAAATAAGGCCTATCCGTGTCACTACTGCATTCAATAAAAAATAATTAGTATTAGAAAAATTCAAATAATATAGATTCATAGACACAATAGAAGAGATCCATAGACTCAACGTTGGGTTGTTTTGCAAGAACCGTGTAGATAGAAAGTATCATTAAGTAAGTTTCGATTGGTGTTCAAAAGCTAAAAAAATAATTTTGTAATTATACAAAGTAATTTTTGAACATTAAGTAAAATATCCCCTGTCAAAGTGGTCCGGAACATAAAAGTTTTAATTTTTAAAGATCAGACATCATATTATTTAATTAGCTTGCCTGCAAGAATGGTTAAAGTTTACAAATTTGAAATAAAAGAGACATGTGAGTGGATTAAAGTATCAATTCTCCAATAAAATAGTAACGTTAGGGCAACACTATTTTACGGTTTTGTCTTCATATGACTTTCTAGTAAAAACTGTCTAAAATGCTATTTTTTGTATGTAACGATTGAGAGCACGGCAAATAAATAGTTTTTTGGCAGTTTGTTATTGTCAATTTATACAAAAACCATAGATGAGGATATGACCGTAACAAAGCGTAACCGTACCATTTCTATTTTATAAGAGAATTGACTTCTAAATCGTGCTAATAACATTTAATTTATTACTGGTTTATAAATGCTAATGTCTGTAATATAACCTACATTATCTCATAAATATCATGAATATATTATATTTTAATATTGTCTAGGGTATAACCTTACTTACTTGATAGATACATTTTGGTAGGATAAGATCAATCTGAAATTAACGGCAAAGTATACTCCCAAACTCGACATACAAACATTACAATTGCAAACTACTCCGCACATTCGCCACATATTCTCCACAGTACCTGCATGCAAGTAATACTTTTTATTAGGGGTCATCCATTAATCAAGTGATAGGTTTTTAGGATTTTTGACTCCTTTTCCCTCCTTGGCAAAACTTGGTGATATTTAAAATTACGCCCCTTACCCTTCTCCCATTCAACATCACTTCTTTTTAGTATCTAAAAAAAGGTTAATTTTTTTTTAATTTTTCGAAAAATTTTGGATTTTTTTTAATTCAGGTAGAAAAAGATACACGTGATATCTCACTAGAGCCCTTTCTTCCCCACATGATATTTTGTGGTTGTGATTTGTCAAACCCCTTAACTCTTTTTAAGCTTCACGTGATTAATGGACGCCTCCTTCTTAATTACTCGGCACACAACACCGATAGCAATCATTTTTCACAATTTTGGGATTTGATTCTTCATTCTCATTTTAATTTAGATCATAAAGTTTTATGCTAATTTGGATAAAACAACAATTTATATTGATAATAAAATTCAAACAAAATAAGTAAAATTATAAGAAATATGAATAATGAATGACTCGATTTGTGTAACTTTTTAGCTATAATTATTTATTTATTATTTAGCTGATAATTTGGCTAAAGTTGATAATTATACTAATTATATAAACAAAAGCCCATTCTATATAATCTTTAGAATACTAATTAATTTCAACTACACTTCGAATGGTATTAATTTAAACCTATATCAAACTGCAAACACATTTCTTGATTTCATTCATCAGATTCATTCGAAGGATAATAGAAGTAAAACTGCTTATTAATTTGATTGATTAGCAGTTAAATACACACCGTTTGGTATCATTAGTAATTGCCAAGCCAAAAAAATATATTTATTTATCAGATTGAGATTTTGATTTCAGTCACTTTGATTACAAGTAATTTATAAAAACTACATATATGCTTTTCGCTCAGTCGATATAATTACGAAAAAAAGTCAAATTCACATGATAAATTACTGTTATTAATATTATCAATCGTTATGTGTAATCTAAATCAAATTAAATATATGCTAAGTATGCGAATATCATCATTATACTTATTTATCTATGAATATCATCAAAATGGGAAACTCGTTTATTTTCTTATTTATTATAATATATTAAATATTATTTTATATTAATATTAGAGATTAATGTATTATTTAAATTGATATTTTTATATCAAAAAAAACAATTTAACCACTATTAATACCTATAAATTCTATGTACGAGTATTATACTTATCTAGTTTTGTTCATGATACAAGAAAAAATCTGCAAATCTCCCAAGTTAAAGTATTGCAAAACGTATTATTTTTTTATTACTTTATTTACACTACATTACATTAACAATGCTTTTTATAATACAAAACAATATTTCTTAGGTTTTTAGAAGATCAAATAAAATAATGAATTTTACATAATCCATTAATATAATGTTCATTACTAGTATATGTGTAAATTCAAAATATACAGTAAAGTGTATTTTTATATTTGTATGACAGAAATATTTATCTAGTGTTTGTTAATATGATTCCCTTTAATAAAATTATTGATTTGATTTAACCTGCTTGCCTATTGATTTTCCATACACAAGAAATTAGTTCCTGAAAATTATACTCACAAATTCCTAAAACATTATGTCTAATCTAATAATGTAGTCTTAATTGTGCAATTTATTTGGCTCTTCAAATTGAAAAAATCTACGTAATATATTAAATTATTATTAAATTTTCTAATACATATATATACTAATTTTGTTCAATTTGCTCGCCAAGCATTTGCCAGTAACTATTTCTAGTGGCATTCAATTTTATATACGATTATTTTATTTTCCGAAGTAGTTTATATTTTTGCCAGAATAATCGATTTGCCCAATTTTGATTTCTCGACGTTTTATGTCATTATAAATCGTTAGAAACAAAAAATGCTGCTCCGATTTCAAAAATACAAAAGTCATTTGATGTAACTTGAAAAGAGCTTTCGCTGGTTAGATCGGCTAGGCTGTTTATTTTTCCAGAATTAGAAGATAAGTGCAATTTTTTTGCCAACGTTTTTGCGAAGAATTGTGAACCGATATTAAAAACCTTTCAATTAAATTAACATCTGTACGAGCCTGCAAGCCGCCCGTATTTATTGCACAATATATTTTAAGATTTACTCCTTTTTTATTTTAAGATTTAATTTTTAACTTTTTTGATTTTAAGATCTAATCACTGGATACTGGTTGCAAAAGGGTTTAAAAAAAGATTTTTATGAAACTTTGTATCATCATAGAATTCATAACAAACATTCTAATGTATTATATGTCTACAAAAAGTGGCCTAATTATAAAAATTATTTGAAGTTCGGAATAACGAAACACGTTTTTAGGACATACGACGGGTGTAATAGGAACTAGAAATAGTATAGATTAGTTGTAGTGATGAAAAATTATCTTAAGGAAAGGGTCATTTAGATTTTTTTAAGCCAATGAGGCAAAAATAATAACGCTAAGAGTTTTGTGAGAGTTTTTAAACTCATTACGGTATCCTAAAATTAGAATGTTGATGGTGTCCTTATAGGTCCAGGAAAACAAATTCGAAGGCCAAGTCGTGTTGCTCCACTTGGTGCTAGCACTGAAGATCTGCAGGCTGAAGAACTGCCTGAAGGAGATATTAAAGAACAGAGAGGTATCTAAACTATTCTATACAGAACACGATCGCATTATAACATAATGACAATTTAAGTTCAATTTTATTATAAAATATTTAATATGTACTAATTCTTTTTAGTTAAAACAATATAAATCCATTTAGTCGTTTACTGAATAGAACTTAGTAAACATAGGTTTAAGATTCATTTATTATGGTTGATCGGAAAGTAACTTCGATTTTAGAAACATTTTGGGACGTAATTTTCGTACAAGAAACAACTACTTTAATTAATTATGTATTTGCAGTTTTGATTGAACATCTTTTGTCATATTTCTGGTATTAGCATAATTCCGAAATCATAAATATTTTGATCGTTATTGGCAAAAAACTGATCAAAGTGCTATTTGACAGGCTGATTTGAGGTGAAGGATTTACCGCCTAAACATTTTTTTAGTGGCCGGAACAAATAATGGTCCGATGATGGCAAATCAGGAGAATATGATAAATATGTCATTGGGTCCTAATACAAAAGCTTTTGGCGATTGAGCAAACTTATATGAGATCTTGCGTCGTCTTGATGCAGGACTATACCTTGCTTGTTTGTTAATACTGACGTTTTCTATTGAAGTATATTATTTAGTTTATTCAGCTGATAATATAAAACAACCGAATTAACCGGTATGTTATCCTAGAAAAGCTGAAAAATGAACAATTCCTTAAAAATCTTACCAAACATACTGCATCACCATTTTCTGGCACATTTCAGTTTCGCACCTGTTTTGAGCAGGTTCTTCTTTTTTGTTTCATAGGCAATTGTGTATACTGTGTCCCTTACATTTCATTTGACATTCCTAGTGACAATTTGCTTCAAAACTTGATAATTTTCAAGACTTTTCAGAGGCGAATTGCGGACGCCAGTGCAACGACACATTGTTCTTTCCATGAGAAACATACATTAAGTTTCGAGGATAATCTCTCACTTTTTGAGTGGTCATGGACTGTTAAATTAGATAAATTTTTAAGCAATGGGATCTCATGTATTGTTATTCGCCGGTTTACATCAACTAATGCCTTTCTCGCGTCTTTATCAGCTTCAACTGTATGCAATTTAGCAAATCAATTTTGGCACTTTCGTACTATCAACACGTCATTTCCCTACACATCGGTCAATTTCATTTCGACTTGAACAGGTTTTTTTTGCCTTTTCTATAGCAAAAGAGTAAAATATGTCGAAAATGCTGCTTCAATCTTTCCGTATTCAAAGTGACACCATCCAAAAACTACTGCATGTAATTGATCCGAATTTTTTTCACACAAACCTCAAAATACAAATTTTCAAATCATATAATAATTATAGGGCTTAAGTGTGATGGTAGATTAAAAAAATATAAATAAATATAAAAAAATATAGTTAAATTCTGGTGGTAAAAAAACGAAGTGACTTTCCGAACAACCTTATAAATATATTTCGAGTCGCTTATATAATTACCTATATTTTTGGATCGATCGAATACTAGAACATGAGTGAAATTTAATAAACTTATCATAATTTAAAACAGCATTATACAAACACAACATTTTTCTAATAATCAATTCTGATAATATTTTAATATATTAATGATTGTAGTAATACATAGATCATGAACATTTTTAGGTACCCCCACCAAATGTTTTGATGTGAAACAATATTGTACAAAAATTTTTCATAAATAAGAATTTACATTAAATAAAATAATAATTATTCCATTATGATTTGTATAATGAATTTATACTTGTACTACTACAATACTAAAACTGTATATGGAAGTATTATAATAACTTAGTATTTAAAATAAATACAAAAAGCAGCTAAATTTTATAAATACTTGATAGATGCTTATATGAAATAAATTACATACAATTTTAATCAATTATGAAGTAGAAATTTTATATTTCATTCGTACATGCATCAATATGGTCGCAAGTTATAAAAGTAAGGACAGATCATTTTTAATAAATATGTTTATACCTGTTGAATTAAAATTTTAGATTTCACTTTATCGTAGGATCTTAGCATTGTGACGTTTTATAACAAGATATCTTTGACAAAAAATAATTTGGGCATGCTTTTGTCATCAGTACATTAGTACCATGTTGATATTATATTTTAGAACAAAGTATCATACTAATAACGGATAGTGTCACTAGGTATATTTAATTATTATATTTTAGTGTAGGAAACTGATCTAGGAAAATGATTAGATACAGCGCAATTTTTAGCTGATCATTAAAATCTAAGCAATCATTTCTCAAATAGAAAATTGTACAATTGGCCCTATTAATTAGTTAGATTACTAACTTTAGTATCTATCACTCTTACTATATATCCCACGCACAAGTTATTTACTTTTCATATGTTTGATTATAAATAGTTCATTATAAAACAACAATAAGCTTTGTAGTTGTAGTTTTAGCAGAGACGAATAAAATCTAACAGAACCAAAACGCCAAATTAATCGCAATTAACCAACCACACACTAGTTTCTTCCATGATGGAAGATCCATATTCATCGCACACACCATCGCACTAATTTGACAGACTCAAACAATGATATTTTTCAAATACTGAATATTAATTACAAATATTAGATCTTTGTTCGAAAAAGCAAATATATCTAGCTAAGTAACGTCCTAGCTATCCCTATTGGCTTCCATGCAAACGCCACCCACCATATATAATCGAACCACCAAATATTTAATTGGTTCTCTACTTTCTGAACCTTCAAAAAGTACATTGAAATCTGTATTTAGTTGTTAGGCACAAATCAAGAACTAATATATATTAAATGCCATTCTATGAAAGCTTGCTTGAACTAGCGTAGCAGCAGTTTTTAAATTACTATGATAACAAAAATGTTTTCTTTTTCTAGTTACGGAGCAATCGTTGGCTTTCGTAATTCCGTTTGAAGATGAACCTTCAGAAGAAAGTATCATTAAAAAACATCCACCTAAAAGACTTCAAAGGCTTGAAGAAAATGCCGGCCCTTTACCAACATTGGAAGAAATAACAGAAAAACAGGCTGTAGTTGAAATGAGAAGGCAGCAGGTTTTTGAATATTTGTTGGCATTCGATTACTGAGATATTTCCAAAGTGAACGTTTTTCTTCAATAATTGGATAATTAGTGTGATTATTACCATACTAAAAACATAGATTTCTTTAATGGGCAATTTTCTATTAAATGCTTTAATCAGTATTATTTAATAAATCTCAACTTTTTTTGAAATGTGACTCCGATGAACTTCAAAGTGCGGTGTAAACTTTTGATTTTTTTAACATAATATATTACAAATTTGCATAATTTCGTAAATAGTAAAAAATATTGGCAAATACAAAGAAAAAATCTATTGCCTTATCTAAAAAATATTATGTCTTTTCAGATTTTGCAGAGTCGTGTGCTGTCGTCTAAAAATATGAGAAATGGTAAATCTATTGATGCTGAAAATCCAGACGAGGATGGACTCCTGGATGTCGATTGCAATGAGATTGATGAGAACACTGAAATTAATGGAGAGACTCAGGATGAAAATAAATCTGAAAATAAAGAAAACATTAAAAATAATAATTTATTAGTGCCAGAAAATGATAATGAATTTGAAAAAAATGATGCTAGACCCCCTATTGAAGACTCTAATAAGAATAGTGAGCAACTAGAATCGTTGCAGTCAGCTAAAGAAACTGCAGTTGAAACTGATAATGTAGAAAAAGAAGGAGTTGATTATTAGATGCATAAAGATACATAATTTATATATACATATATATATATATACATATATATATTAGAGACTAGGGTGGTCCTGAATTTGGATATTTTGAATTAAAAATTTTGAAAATTACAAAAATGAATTAAAAGTGAAAATTCGTGTCATTTGTTATTGAAAATTCGACGTTCTGCAGAATTTTTGAGAATTTTTCTATGCTATTTCCATACAAAACTTTGATTGAATTACGCTCTATCTAAAAGAAAATATTAAGAGCTAAAACTTTCAGAGAATTGTTTTTTATCAATTTGGAACCAGTTTTTTTATCATTTTGGAACCACCTGGTGGTAGCAAGGAAATTCAAAAATGTCTATATTAAGGACCACCCTAATATATATTTCAGAGTGTTCTATTTATATAAACCTATGTTGAAAATCTACTAAATATTCATTTTTAATGCGTCTATTTTACTTTACTATTCTTTATATATATATATATATATATATATATATATATATATATATATATATATAACAAATGTATTCTGAGTGGATATAGATATTGATTTTGGAAATATGAACAAACAACACTCTTCTTGCACTAATTTATTAAATAATAATTTTCACAAACGTTTCGAGACTAGGTTTGTCTCATCATCAGTGTGTTATGATTAAAAAAATTTTTAAAATATGGAAATCTAAATTAGCATTTTGTGTTTTTCATTACAAGTCGTTCACTGCGATCTGCTCTGTTAATACCAACGGTCGTCGGTATTCGTATTCTCTACCACTTGAAAACCACGTGGTTATTATATGGTTATATTATATATATATATATATATATATATATATATATATACGTAAATCGCTTCACTCAAGTTCGTAGGATAACTAAGAAAAACTCATTTTTTTGGTAAATTCTTTTTTTTTTCCTTCAATATAGTTTGCTTCGAAGACGATAAGACAATTATAGAGAACTTAAAACTTTTCAAAACCATTTTTGTAGTACGATTTATACTTACAATTAGCCACTAAATTCGGCCATCATCACATCATTTGGCAAATATTTCTTTAGAGCGGGCATCCTTTTAAGATCTGAGAACATGATATGGTCACTGGGGAACAGATCTAGATAATATAGTGAGTCAGGAAGCGATTTGGAGCCTAATTCATTTTTTGTTTTTTCACTATTTTCACGGAATTATGATTTGGTGCGTTGTCCTGACGGAGCAGCACTGTTTTTATTTTTAAATAGGGCAATTTTTCCGGTTACGATCCTTCAATGCTACAATAAAGTTATACAATAGTCACTGTTGATGGTCTGGAAGATAGTTGATAAATATCATTTTTTGCATAAAACTGACGCCATATAGTGCAGTAAACGGAGAGGAAAAAAGGGTATAACCTCTGAATTTTTTTACTGTGCTCCGAATTGAATGAAATTTGGGAATTAGGTTCATCTTACCCTCAAGTTCAAAAGTGAACAATTCGGGTTGCGCTATAACCCCCCGGGGGGATTACCCCCCTTCTAAATTGTGTAATTACATTGTTTCAAAATAACGTCGGAAATCGATAAAAGAACTAATTATAAGAAAAAATGTCTGTTATAGTTTTTCAAAAAAACTAATACTTTTCAAGTTACTGGCCACTAAATATTCATATATTTTTGGCGTTTTTCTTCGTTTTTTTGCAAATATCTCCTAAAATATACCTTCTAACGAAAATCATGTAATGAACAAAATAATGTCGATAAAAATCTTAATAAATCGGTATTACATAAAGTGTTCTAGGAAAAACATTAAGCAAGATTTGAAACAGCAAAATCGTTTTTTATTTCGTTCAAGATTTAATTGTTGTATTTAAAGCCATCTAGTGTCGAGGTTTTACATTTTATGCATTTCGGTGAAATTGGGTTTTATAGTGCTCAACATAAGCTTTAAAATGAGTGCTGTTACAAGTTTTTTGCGTGTAAAGTGAGTGAGCTATCATGCAAATAAGAAGCATATACGATGTTTTTTTCTTCTAAATCATGTGGTTTAATGAGCGCCGTTTCCACCAGAATTAAAGTAATTCACATTCCATCTAGAAATCACTTCATTGTAGACCTCTTGATGGATTCTAGCAGATTCACTACTTTAGTACAAACTATTTTCAGAAAACTCACGATTTTATAAAAGCTTTTTTTTTCAATTTGCGCGGCCGCGCTGTCTTTAAACATTCATAACTCTGTCAATTTTTGTGTGAAAGAAAAATAATAAAAAACAATAATAAGCCAGAAAGATCCCTTTGATTTTGACCTATATGCTTTTATACGTATCTTTTATTACTTTTGAGATATAATGAAAATAATTTCGATTTTTTAAAAAATTGGAAAAAAAAGTTTTTATAAAAGCGTGAGTTTTCTGAAAATAGTTTGTACTAAAGTAGTGAATCTGCTAGAATCCATCAAGATGTCTCTAATGAAGTGAATTCTAGATGGAATGTGAATTACTTTAATTCTGGTGGAAACGGCGCTCATTAAACCACATGATTTAGAAGAAAAAAACATCGTATATCCTTCTTATTTGCATGATAGCTCACTCATTTTACACGCAAAAAACTAACAGCACTCATTTTAAAGCTCATGTTGAGCACTATAAAACCCAATTTCACCGAAATGCATAAAATGTAAAACCTCGGCACTAGATGGCTTTAAATACAACAATTAAATCTTGAACGAAATAAAAACCGACTCTGCTCTTTCAAATCTTGCTTAATATTTTTCCTAGTACACTTTATGTAATACCGATTTATTAAGATTTTTATTGACATTATTTTGTTCATTACATGATTTTCGTTAGAAGGTATATTTTAGGAGATATTTGCAAAAAAACGAAGAAAAACGCCAAAAATATATGAATCTTTAGTGGCCAATAACTTGAAAAGTATTAGTTTTTTTGAAAAACTGTAAAAGACATTTTTTATTATAATTAGTTCTTTTATCGATTTTCGACGTTATTTTGAAACAATGTAATTACACAATTTAGAAGGGGGGTGATCCCCCCGGGGGGTGATAGCGCAACCCGAATTGTTTTCACTTTTAAACTTGAGGGTAAGATGAACCTAATTCCAAAATTTCATTCAATTCGGAGCACAATAAAAAAATTCAGACTCTAAACGCTCCGTTTACTGCACTAATAACCTTGCGACCTAATTGGTTAATTTTTTCCTCGTCATTGTGTCTAGTCTACTCGACTAACTGTTTATTCGACTCCGGAGTGTAGTGTTGAATCCAGGTCATATCCATGAAGAAATATTGATGCAAAAACTTAATTTTATTTCGATTAAACAGCTCCAAATACTCTTGGAATCATCAACTCGTTATGCTTTCGGACAAATGTGAGTTTGCGCGGCACCCTTTTAGCACAGAAGTTTTTCCTATTCAAATGTTCATGAACGATTTGTCCAGCGCATTATATTGATATCTTTAGGGTGTTAGCTATCTCAAGCAATTTTACTTTTTGATTTTTCAAAACCATTTCCGTGGACTTTTTTCAGCATAGTCAGTGTCTGTATGGCCACGATTAAAATCAGCAAACAACTTCTTCACCATCTACCTCGATTTGTAACAGTTCAGGTTATACTTATCAAGCGATACTTTGGCAGCAATGGTATTTTTATCCATCAAAAATCATTGATAAATCAACCCACAAAATTGCTTTGAATTCATGGTTACGAAAAACTCAAAGATAGCTGCACTTGAACCTGTGTAACTTGTAAACTAATCGTCGGATTGTCATTAAATTTTGACATTTATCTTTTTAAAGGTGCTTTCTACAAATCGTGTGGATGATTATATAGCTACATCATTTATGTTTTATCCTACGGACTTATTGAGTGACGTTATATATATATTAGAGATGGGTAACTCACTCCGGAGTTATCACTCCGATACAACTCCTCCCTCGGAGTGAATCCGAGTGGAGTTGTGTCACAGGATTTGTCATATCCAACTTCCTTAAATTGGTATTAAATCTGTTAACTCGTACAGGCATTTAGTGTTTTTGTCGTTTTTGATTTGGGAAGGAAGCGGTCACTTTCTTGTCTCGCAGGCGGTTTTATGACCTTTTTTAAGTATAAAAGTCAAAATAAATTCCATTGTGTATTTTCCAGAAAATACAAAAATGTTACTTTAAAGATACAGAACAATGAAATTGTATTCAAGTGTGAATAGCTCAAATGTATAATTTATTAAATAGTAAAGGGTCATATTTCTAACTACGACAATCTTTAGCCGTAAACATACCGAAAAATATAGGAAACGAAATACATTTATTCAATATTGTTTTTCCCATAGCCTGAAATAACAAATTTATCAGTGATTTCATTAGTATTTAAGCAGTAAAAATATTCAGTATTATATTATTACTTTTACACAATTATATAATTGTGTAAAAGTAATAATATGCTAATCGAACTACGCGATATAATATTAATTTTCAAATGGAAATAGCAGAAGAAAAATTTTGAAAGCAGAAGTATTATGTTTTGCTTTTATTACAAAGTTTACTACATAATTTTTATATAAAATTAATCCAAAAAATAATTATTTTCTCATCAAAAGGAAATCATTAAATTGAATTTGATTTTTAAGTTTTGCGTTTTTACTTTGGTCAACACTGCTAAAAATACGGGTCACTGAGTCGATCATCTGGTCGACCGAAAAATTTTACAATCCGTCATTTATTCGTAATTTTTTAGAAAAATTATTTTATTGATAATTATTCATAAATTTTTATTTCAAATAATTAATGGGATTTGACAAATCCTTAGATACATGAACAGCGTACTATAGAACACATTTGTTTCGAGTATTTCGGTTTCAAAATTGTCGGAGTCGTGGAGTTGTTTAGCGGATATAACTCCACCATGAAGCGGAGTCAAATCCGAGTCGATCCGGCTTCGGATATAATAAGCCCATCTCTAATATATATATATATATATATATATATATATATATATATATATATATATATATATATATAT